TCCTACCTATATACTTACCAGCTAGCTATTCTACCTACGCAATACCTACGCTTCCGTAATTTGGACATGACTTTCTTTGTGCTTTTTTGTAACCTATGTTTAAGGTCATTGTAATATAATGGAGAATATATACAAAGTTCTATCTATTTTAGAAATAAATACAATATGAATTGTTGGCTAAAATTGCTGGTTTTTTCAGCTGATTCGACGATTGTGGAAGCGAAAAGATGAGAAGAGTGGAAAAATCATAAAGAAATAAGAAAATTTTAAGAAATTCGAAATAACTTTGAAATGACGTAAACAGAAAATTGACTAATAAACCACATATTCATAGTTATAAATAGCATAAAAGCAACAATTTTAAATAATTACAATGGTTTTTTCAATATCCTGAGTTTTTCGTAAGTCGTCGATTTCGTTGACTTGGGCTTTGCTAAGCGCGCACTCAGCGCGACTACAAAGTTACCTCTTTTCCTTTTTCCTTTTATAAATACCGTCATTGTCTTTTTTTATTTAAAAAAAAATATTAACAATGCTATAAACATTACTAATATTCCCCTTAACCACTCGTGGTAAGCTTAAATTGCTTGTGTTACGAGTGGTTCACGCCAGTAGTCGAATGGCGGATTCGAACCCACGACCTTTTTTAGTTCGCGGTCCGCGCCCTGCCATTAGGCTAATGTCGCTTTTCATATTTATTCATATTATGAAACATATTTTTTCTTTTAGTATAAAATTAAGGTCTGAGCAATATCAAAGTACGGTCAGGAGTCAGGAAAGTGACGGTGTTTCATCCTCAGTGCGTTGGAAAGCCGTTTATCCTGTGCCTAATCCAATGGGGCTTTATCTCTTTACGTTCATGTTGAATTTCCATCCTTTCAAATTAGGATATGGGTATAGTGTGCATCTATGGATGCACGCATAATAGTACACTATACACCTGTTCCTTTAGACGGTTAGAGTCCGTTGATACTGTCACCATTTTATCTGCATTTTTCCGGACTAAATCGTTTGACAAAAGATTTTTTTTAAATAGAGATAAGAGATAGTGTCTGTTGTGGAGAGAACAGACTTCAGTTTAAAGGAGTTTCTAGCTTACTTCTAGAGTGGACAGACTTGAGAGTTCATGTATGTATATATTATATGTAAAATATTATTAAAAACACATTCAACTTGATGATTAACGTATACCGTGGCCCATAGAAATTTACATCTATCCACGATTAGGAATCAAAATATAGATACATTGTTACCCCTAAGGAATAAGATAGAATCTCTGGTTACCAGTAAAAGTAGTTACCAGTTCTCTACATTCGCCATACTCGACACGGGTCTGGTATTGCTCTTTCCCCGGCTTAGCCGACTCATTCATGCTGTAACGACACATAGCTGAAACTTGGCCCCCCAATTTAGTATAGATCGGTTTATTGACGACCGCAGTAGCAGACATCGCGAACCTTTTATTGGAAGCCATATCATTTTTCTGTGATTACTTGAAGTCGTATTTTACGACATTCACAGAACGAAATGAGTTAATGGATTCTCTTACGCCATCTCTAAACAACCACAGAAATTCTCAATAAAAACATTCGCGATACCATTCATACAATCTGAATGATTGGCTGTCTACCGCTGTGCAATTTACCAGAAGTTTTCTTCCTCGTATAACTTCCCTGTAGAAATGACTACCAGCAGCGATTTTTCTGGACCGATACGACATAGGACCCTCCCTTCATGAAAAAAGTCTAATCTTTTATAAAAGACTTGTAACGCACCTGCAATTCCTTTGGTGTTACAGATGTTCATGAGCAGCCGTAGTCACTTACCACCAGGTGAAACGCATGCTCTTTGGCCTTCTTATATCAAAAAGAAAATAATAAGAAGATGTTATTATAAAAGAATTTTACAAAATTATACTAATTTTGGCATATACTTCAATCCGTATATCGTTACAAATTCCGGAAATAAACAATTTGTTCACCTATATCATGTATATCTGACATGTTATAAATAGAAGTGGTCGTTTATCATTCTGCGTGTGACAGTCTATTTTCATTCTTTTTTCGTTGTAAATTTAATCTGTGCACCTTAACCGGGAATCTTGGTTAATTTTGAAATAAATTTATCTTGAAATAAATATATCAAAATATAAATACTCCTATTTCTTAGTAGTTAATAATTAACTTAAAAAAATTGCAATGTTTTAATGTCTTATAAATTTATATTATTAAATTTATATAGTCTTATAAATTTATATTATTCAGTTATGTTAAGTGAAGAAGGATTAAATATGTAAAGAATTCAGAATTTATCATACAATTTCATACCGTGTTTGTCAAAGTATCGACTAAGTGATATCTCAAATTTCTCCATCAGTTTCTTTATTCCAAAGTTCACTCAACAGTGTAAAGAAAAATGAGAGCCCCGACTTCAGGAGCTGTTATGAAGAACTAATTAATTATTTTAAATTCACAAAGTCGCCTTTTCCTTTTTCTTAAAGTCAGTTTAATTGATTCTTTTGAGTTTTTGTAATAGAATGTGACAAATGGGAGCTCACAGTACACCTCATGGTCTTCCTGTGGCCCATTCTTGTGACACATATATCTTTGATATATATATATATATATATATATATATATATATATATATATATATATATATATATATATATATATATATATATGATAATCAAAACGCACTGGTATGGTCCTTCCCCGGTTGAGTTGCCCTATTTGAGCTACAACTTTATGTTTTAAAATATTATATGGCCACAACCATAATATAACTGCAACATGGCTCGACTAGGTATCAAAAGTAAGGAATATCACAACCTCGATTATTTTTCAAGATTAGTAGTGGAATTTTCCTTAAAATTTATGGGTCTATACTATACGCCGTAATTTTATTTACATTTTATCATCATCATCATCATTACAGCTCTTCACAAATCCACTGCTAAACATAGTACTCCCTCAAGGAATACCACAAAACACAGTCCTGAGCCATCTGTATCCATCAACTTCCTGCATAACTTACCAGGTCGTCACTCCATCTAGTGGGAGGGTTCCTACACTTCGCTTACCGGTACGAGGCTGCCACTCAAGAACCTTTCTTCCCATTGGTTGTCGATTATTCGAGCTAAATATATGGACGGCCCATTGCTACTTTAGCTTACTAATTCATTACTTTTAAAATACATTAATGTCACGCGTGTCTCGGCGCGTTTGGCAAATGAAATGGACTCATTTGTTAACTAAAATGTAATTGTAACTAGTAATTAAAAAGTAATGATTTTTTGTACTCAAAACACATATTTACGTATTAAAACGAATGAAAAAACAATTATCGCATCGTCCTACAGTCATAGATATTTTTAAAATATTTGTTACTGTGGTTTGAAGCGATTTGTTTTTTTAAATACATTCATTATTTCAATGGAATACGGCTGATTAATGCTCGCAGGTTCGTGTTCAAAGTCTTGAGAATGTGAAACACCAAACGGCATTTCTATTTTTAGAAGTAGCCGGATCTTATATTCATCGCACGAATACTGAATTAAGTATCCCACAAACACGTATAGTGTGTACGTAGGTGTTTTAGGGATCAATTATTCTAAATTGTGTAATTTTGCTTAACATGATGCTTTTTACGTTCCTAGTTAGTAATTTACTAAAATAAAATATCAGTCAATTACCATTAGTAATACATAAGTTTACTATTCTATGTTAGCTAAAAATTAGCATACAATATATTATACATATTTAGTTTACGGCAGTAGTCAAATGGCGGATTCGAACCCATGACTTTTCGAGTTTTCAGAATCCAGTCCTTATTCTTAATTTTTAGTCTACAAACCATCAGTCAAATTATCAGCTGTAAACTTGTGATATATATATTTTTTATTTATAAAACTTTCATAACACAAGTTACATACCTACGTGATATTTATTATTGCAGCAATAAAAGCAAAACGACATAATGTAAATAAGTTAGAATGTTATGTTATTTGATCGCCTTCGTGCAATTTTTTAGACTATCTAAGAAGATAGCTTCACTAATATTTCAATATAATTAACCTTTTTATATTTATTGTTCCTTTTCTACTAACAAAAGATTTCATGAACATAAAACATAACATAAACATAAACAATCGCGCCTGTCACCCAGAGGTGTAGGCAGAGACTACAGACTTACATTTGGCATGATCCTGACACACCTCTCTCGCCTCCTTCACATCCATATACTTTCGCATACATGCTCGTTGATTAAGGATACTCCTAATTTGGCCCGTTTTCAATAAATCGCTAATTTGGTCGATAAATTTTCGCCTAGGACGTCCCTTTCCGACTCTGCCATTCACTTCTGCCACACAAATTTTCTTTGTCACTTTTTCCTCATTCATTATTTCCACATGACCAAACCACCGAAGCATTCCTTTCTTAATCCTAGTCACAACATCATCTTGCAAACCACACTCTTCTCTTATTACACAATTTTTCATCCTATCATTCAGATTCAGCCCTCAAATAATACATTTCTACTGCTTTCATTCTACTCTCGTGCTTCTTCTGCCACACCCAACTTTCACTACCATATGTTAAAGTAGGGACCAACACAGCATTGTAAATTACCATACGTGCCTTTTTGACACATTTAGACTCCTTACAATAGATTGTAGGCCCCATTTACTCTGTTTCCTGCATTCACTCGTCGTTCTATATCCTTATCACATCTCCCATCCTTGCTAAATTTTAACATAAAACTACAAAATGAATAAATAAAAATAAATACATATTCCAATAGCAGGTTGTATTATTGTAATATACAACTTGATATGTTTTACAATATTAGTTATTTATTAAAATGACTATCAATATAATATGTACTGAAACATTTTTGATCTTATTTTATTTACAAAATGTAAAATTAGTTTTATGTTTTAAAGAGAAGTCACAATTTTAAAATTGTCTATTACAGATACATAGGAGCTAACTTAAAAAATGGAGCAGTTTGAATCGCTGCTGACGTGCTGTGTGTGTCTTGACCGGTTCAGAAATCCAAAATTGCTGCCATGTCAACACAGTTTCTGTATGGAACCATGCATGGATGGGCTCGTAGACTACGTCAGACGACAGGTATAAAGTTTATTCTTGCTTTCAGTTTTACAGTAAATCTATCGTTATTCATGTACTAAAATTAGTTAGGCCTAGATTTATTTATAAATGTATATGTTTTTCAGGTTAAATGCCCAGAATGTCGGGCGGAACATCGAATCCCCTATCAAGGGGTACAAGGATTTCCAACAAACGTTACACTACAAAGATTTTTAGAACTGCACGCCCAAATTGCTGGAGAGTTGCCAGATCCTACAGCTGGTCAAGTAATGGAAAGATGTAATGTATGTTCTGAAAAAGCATACTGTGCGCCGTGTGCTCATTGTGACAAAAAAGTTTGCGATGACTGTAAGTCAGCTCACATGGAAGTTCTTCGCAGAGAAATCGCAAGAATTAATAATCAAATCCGCCGAGGTGTAAACAGACTCCAAGATATTTTAAGTATTGTAGAACGTAATACAACCAACCTTCAAACAAACTGTGCTGCAGTAGCTGGAGAAATCGATGAAATTCATAAGCGGTTATCTAAAGCCTTAAAAGATAGGACTGATTTCCTCAGAAATGAGGTTGATCGATATTTAGCTACTGAATTAAGAAATTTAACTCATCTCAAAGATAACTTAGAATTAGAATTAAGTAATATTCAAAGTAACTGTGATCTTGCTGATAAATACATGAACGATGATGTAGAATGGGAAGATACAGAACTAGTAGACACGAAAGAAATATTCCTTAAAACTGTAGAGTTCCTTAGAAACTTTGATTATGAAGCTGGTGACTATAACCGTAGAGTTAGATTTATTATGACCCATGATCCAAATCAGCTTGTACTTCATGTAGCTAGTTACGGCGAATTAAACATATCCCAACCTAATGCGTATTCTAATAGCTTGCAGCCATCTCAAGGGTTAACTAGATCTAAAAGTGATCATCGTCTAGCAACACAGTTTCGTCAACAAGAAGAGGCAAAAGGATATGTGGAAAATGATGAGCCAGTTTTAGGTGGCCGTAAGTTCGGTGAGAGGCGACCTCCTCCACCAGAAAGGCATACTAGAGAATACGGAACGACAGATGATTATAGTGGGTATGAATCTGAACACAGACCATCCCGCAGGTTCCGTTCACGTTTTGTAAGAAGTCATCAACAAGATAATGATTCTGATACCGAGCAAATCAGCAGAGTGGTTAAATCTGAACATAAAGAAAAAGAAAAAGAAAAAGTTACGGATACAGAAGATGCGACGCGTGGTCCTCTCAGTGGCATTTTTAGACTGAGTGACTGTCCTCGTGTAATGCAAAGAATTTTAGATGTAGATAGCGTAAAAAAGAAAGAGAAGAAAGAACCACCACCTCCACCAAAACCTGTACAGCCAACACCGCAGCCTCAAAGACGTCCGCCAACCCAAAGGCAGCAGAGTGAAGATGATGAAATATCAAGACTAAAAAGGCAAAATAAAGGAGCTGCTTCCTCTCAAGAACCAGATCGACCAACACAACGTAACAATGAAGAAGAAAGAAATTCAATCACTCGAAAACCACCGACACCAGCTCGGGAGGTGAGTTGGGAGGATGAAAGAGAATGAAATAAAAAACTGTACACTACAACGTAGAAATTAGTTATATCATCGATACTAACAAGAGAAAAGTAAACATTAATAGCATTCCATAAACACAATTCACGTCTAACTCATATTCACTTCAAACACAACACAAAAATTAAATAATAACCAGTGTATTGGTGCCCATACCGACTTTAACTATATTTCTCAGGCATCCAGCGATGGTGAATCTGATGAGTCTGTTGGTTCTTTACAACGTACACAGCGGAAGAATTCTACTACTATTCCTAAATCAACCGTTGTAACAAGAAGACCATCAAATACAGAAACTCCAAGTGCTCATCGCCCAGCTGCCCGTGCTCCTAGCACTGATTCGAGTGCTTCTACGGAAAGTTCTGGATCGGCAGTAAAACATACAGGTGCGATACTATCTATCGCAGAATTAAAAGCAAAATACAGCAGTAATGGGCTTCCACCAAAACCAGGATCTCGTTTCTTTTCCGCAGGCAGCGAGAGAACGACACCGTCAACGACGAATGGAACAGCCAGCGGTGCCCAACGCGTTCAAAGTCGGTTCATTGGCGCTCAGCGTCCTACGCCAGCTCCAGCTCCTGCTGAACCAGCTCACGAAGATACCGATACAAGCTCAGAGGAGGAGACCGACTCATCAGAGGAGAGTGAAGAGGAGCCTGTAACGCAAAGGAAACCCGAGAGTCAGGCAATGGCCCGCAGTGATATAGGCCCACTTCTTGCACGTAGTACAAATGCTCGTAACGATGCTCTAGATAATAAATCTAAAGAGACTCCCACGCAATCCCGTTACCGATCACGCCAACCATCTCAAACTGAAGAAGAACCTTCAACTAGATATGGTGCTAGTGGTTCTTCATATAGTCGTTACGGCAGTAAACCCAAAGAAGATGAAATGACATCTTCAATAGACGATGATACTAAATATCCTACAGCTCGATCGCGATACCTCGCTCTTAAAGAGCGTCGCAATCGTTTAGCAAGAAGCAAAAGCAGTCACACTGGCTTTGGAGTAGGGGACGATGAGGAACTAGATGATCCCGTGTCTCCAACTACAGCATCACCGTCAGCTTATCTTGCGGCTCGATACGGCTCTGGCACAGGAGGCTCAGAACTGTCTCGTAGCCGTTCTTCTCACGCTCTAAAATCAAGGGAAAGTTCTCCAGAACGACCGGTATCTGGTGAAAAAGATGGTGCAGCTTTAAGTTCCTGGGCCAGATATTTAAAGAATAAATATGGATCACGAGGTAAAGATCGTGATTCAGGTGGAACATCTTCTAGTACTGCTCGTCGTCTGTCTCTCGGGCTGCCCTTGCGTTCAGCCAACGAGCTTGCCAGTTCTGATGACGATTCAAAAAACGCGGCAGGCTCCCCCATCTCCCCTACGGCGGCTACAGCAGCGGTAGCAGGTTAGATAACGAAAGTGGCATGTAAATAGGGTTACAGCTTATTTTAATTCTTAAAAAATACATAATATCTATTATTGACTAATCTGATTATCTCTCATAGGTTTCGCAGCAGCAGGTTCCTCCCCTAGGAGCCAATATCTGCAGAAACGCCGTTTATTATTCAGCGTGGGGAGTCGGGGGAGCGAACCCGGTTGTTTTACATGGCCTCGAGGTATCGCTGTTGGTCCTGACAATACCATGGTCGTGGCTGACTCATCTAATCATCGAGTTCAGGTCAGAGATTTCTCGTCATTGTATTACAATTAAGTTCATTGCTTTAGAATAAAAACGATTTAAGTATTTAATAAAAGAAATAATAAGTATAGATATTCACGGTTGTTATAATAACAGCGTTATTATTGTATTGGTTTACTTGAACTGCTTGAGTATATATACCTCTTCTAAATATTATCCGGCCCATTACCAGGGTCTGCCTTACAACTCAAGCACTTATTTTTAATCGATCTAAAGTCTATGGTTAGTCTTTTAAGCTTTTTATCCAATCTCATGACATCGAACTCTTTTGACTATCGAACAGGAATTTATGAATACACTGCATACTTGTTTATCTCATTAAAAATATACGGTTGACCTTATAAGCCATCCCTGAAACTTTCCGCTAATTTTAAATGCAAAGCGCTTCAAATTTTACCTTTTGTGACGTTTTTGAGCCCTTCAAGCTTTTTCAACCTTTTTAATTTTAATACGGTTTGCGGCAATCAACGCAGTTTTTTGAGCTTAACAAAAGCTTTCAGAACAAAAAAAATTACTAAATTATTTAAAGTTAATTAAAAAAACACTTTTTCAAAATATCTTTAGACAAGGATATCTTTTAAACGAATCAACTGATTTCGATGCGGTTTACGTCAATCGACGTCGTATTTTGAGTAAAAGAGCTGATTCTATTATATAATTAATCAAAACAATAGTGTCGAAGTAATTTAAAAAAAAATTAATGAAATGAATTCGAATTTTAAGGTTTTCCTGAATATACAGTGACGATGTAGTCTAAAATTACAGAAAATTTAAGTTCAGCAAGGTTCACAAAGTTATGAGGTGTTTACATGTTTGTATACATACATACACATACACACACAAAAATACGCACGCACACACACACCACACACACACACACACACACACACACACACACACACACACACACACACACACACACACACAACAGAGAGAGAGAGAGAGAGAGAGAGAGAGAGAGAGAGACAGAGAGGGAGAGAGAGAAAGAGAAATACCGCCATCATCGCAAAAATAACCAGCCTAGGACCTCGAAACGTCAAAATTTCGATTTTCAAAAACCGGGGTGAAAACAATGACTTCCCAATTTTTCGAAATGACCACTCTTTCTTAAGCTTTTATTTAATTTTTCTTCTTTTACTGAATAATCTCAGAGATCTATTATTATGCCCTCTGTAGCTTTAATGTAATATATTAAATGATGTCAAATTGACTTGCTTTTTAGATTTTGAAATGACCTGAAAATCCTGTGTTATATATTTAAATAATTAATTGTTTAAACATAAAACATGGGAAATAAATAATTAGGATAATAATTAATTACTTGATATGTTTTCTGTTTAGTAAAAATAGTTTATATATAATATTACATTATTATAACGATAATATGCGGGATTCAATCGATGATTAGCTTACATATTATTATGTGCTAGATGATTAAGATATTAATAAAATAATATTTTTTTTACTTAGCTGGTTCGCTGAAGGTCATAAAAATTGATCTTATTCAATGTGGTGTTTTCAGGTGTTTGATATGAATGGCATATTCATAAAGGAGTTCGGACAGTATGGTAGTGGTGAAGGAGAATTTGACTGTCTTGCTGGCGTCGCAGTAAACCGGATCGGGCAATACATCATAGCAGATAGATATAATCATCGCATACAAGTGAGTTGAATGTGTGCTTAAACCGATTGTTATTGTTATAATACGCCTGGTATTTGAGTAATTGCTAAAAGACTTAATAAACTGATAACTTGTCTGTCTTTGTCCATAATTAATACTTGGTTTACTTTGATTTAATCCGAAGACTTAAAATTTTTTTAGGTATTTGATCCCGCTGGACGGTTTTTAAGATCGTTCGGTAGTCAGGGGACAGGAGATGGCAAATTCAATTACCCATGGGGTATAACTACAGATGCTCTCGGATTTATATATGTTTGTGACAAGGAGAACCATAGAGTACAGGTGAGCTTATCATAATTTATAACAACTGATAACAATTTTATATATATATATATATATATATATATATATATATATATATATATAACTAAGCTTTAAAAAAATATAATAATAAAATAATTTTTCTTCTAATGTAAATATTCAAATATTTTTCGTTATTGAAAAGAACTGTCTTATTGGTTTAGTGGCCACAAACGTGACTGCTGAACATGTGGTCCCGGATTTGGATATCGGGTTTGACCAAAATCTTATGTTAAACCAAAATCACGTATAAGATTTATCAGTCAAGAAATTATCAGTAGCAGCCCAGAGTCAGAAAATTTACGACGTTCTCTGATCTGTGATCTCTCTCCGGTCATGCAGACTGCCGTTCCATTGGATTATGAGGGTGAGAGAATGGCGAATCCATCTGTGCTTGCGCACACATTCGTGCACTAAAATCCTATCCTGCGCAGACGTTTATTCTACGTTAAGACTGGCTGCATTAACCGAAATTCTGTTTGCGAGCGTAATTTATATATTATATTAGAAAGATTAATATGTAGTAGATAAGTTCAGGACAATTAAAAAAAAAGTTAGTAACTTTTTACGTTAATTTATTTGGAATACGAATCAACATTAATAAGTTGTTTTTTTTTAAACTGAAATGACAAACGAACTTTTAGTCATACAGATGTTAAGTTGACACTGCAATCCATAGACACCTGCAACTAACTTCATACAAAGTATACGTGTATATCTAAATTACAAAATTCATACAAAGGAAGCTACACATGCGCTGTCACCCGTGAGGGCTAAGGTGAAATGCCTTACAACCAGCAATTATACTGGCTCTCTGTACCCTTCAAACTGGAATCCAGCATTACCAGCATTGCTCTTTGCCAGCTGAAACATGCAAGAATGTGGTACCTACTTAGAAATCCTAGGCAAATAAATTGAATTCTACCTAGCTACCAAGTAAAATAGTATTTTTAATAAATACTAATTTTGAGGTGAACTGGGGAAAATTATTAAGATGTCTAATGGGAAAGTGTGTCATTTAGTAATGCAATAATCAGTTTATAAAAAATATATGTTTTAGGTATTCCAATCTGATGGCACGTTTGTGGGTAAATTTGGCTCTTTCGGCTCCAAACTGGGCCAGTTGGAACATCCGCATTATATTGCCGTCTCCAGCACTAACCGCGTGCTAGTATCTGACTCCAACAATCATAGGATCCAAGTTTTCGATGTCAACGGAAGAGTGCTCTCATCATTCGGTGAAGAAGGTTCTGAAGATGGACAATTCAAATTCCCAAGGTATAATGTGCTTATTATTATTATAAATTTTGACAAGAATTACTAGTTTCATTTTCTCATAACGAATATAATTAAAATAATTAGTATTTGAGTAATCTTTATATGTTGTATAATAGGTTTCAATGTACTTTTAAGAATACTTATTTAAGAGCTGTGACTTTTATCTTTACCACAGATAAACATAACTTTTAAAGCGGTCACAAAATAAAATTCTTACAAATCTTATCCAGATTGTGATGATCAGTCAAATGCTCAGTAAATCTAAAACTAACAAGAGAAGTATTTACTAGAATTGATTTATCTCAAAAAGTGATACTGTTCTTAAATTTTTTTCATTATCCTAGTAATGTAGAACCTTGACCGTAATATAAAATTTCTTAATATAGTTTTGGTACGTGCGTTAGTTCACAGTAACTGCTTAAAGTCTTTTTCTATTTATTGTAATATTTTCATCCTTCAATAAATTTGAAATGATTTTTAGTAAAAGGTTATGGAATGAAATATGTTTGTATCGAATATATATCATATTTTACTAAATTTAACACAAATAATGATCGTATATCCGAATAACCTAATCGTATTTCTGTCCAAAGTAACAAAAAAAAACTCGAAATCGCTATGAGAGATTTATATCATATACAATAAAACTGTCCAAGTTCGTGGCGGGCCACGTATAATGTAGAGGTAGAGTTCCGTAGTAGCACGTTACGTATTGTGTTGGGCTTTCTTGATAACGACTAAAAATGGGCCCAAAATAGGAAGATGGTAACTGAAGGACTCATTTTCAAAACAGACTTATAGAGATTGGTATTCAAAAAATATTTTAAAAAATCGATTTTGAAAATAATATAATTTACATCAAATGATTCAAATGCCAAGTTCATACAAACATGGTCATAGTTGACTATCTATCCATATATCCCGGCAGTGCAGCCATTTATTTTCAGAGACTTATCCATCGATACCCCACACGTAGAATAGATGGGTAAAAAAAAAAGATCATCCTCCATTTATCTGTATGGGATTTGCCAAAAAAATTATAATTTTATTTCACAGTTTTGAGGATTTATATCAATAACGATGCCAAATAACAGATTTGTAGCACCTAGGGTATCTGAGTAAAACCGTGGACGGACGGACGGACGGACATGGCAAAACTAAATATAAAAGGATTTCTTGTTTTGTAACTACGGAACCATGAAAACCGTGAAATATTCAGGCGGGTGATTAAGATAACCCAGAGATCACTACTCAAAGCGGTACTTTGAAATAATTTTAGAATTTTTGACTTGTTCAAAAATTCCAAAATTATTTACTGACTAGTAACAAACCTTTGCCATTTATAATTTAGTCCCCTCTAGTTAACCATAGAAAACTTTGATTATTAATAGTGTTACATTTTTCTGTGACAACTTTAGTTATTAATAAGTTTTATTATATCATGTTATCCGTATATACGCGTACACGTATTATAGTTGAGAGTGTAGTGACGGTGTATATGTGTGCCCATATGTGTGCGTGTCGTAAGAGTCGATAGAAAGAAACTAAGCAGCAGCGTCTTGGCAATCATAACAAATTATGAGGAAATTTATGGATTTATTTCGGCAGTGGACCTTTGAAAATCTGTAACAGTAATCGTATCGTGGTGGTATAGTATATTATTGTACAACATATTTAAAGCTCACTATTTTATGCACGCAGGGGCGTAGCGGTTGATGACCAAGGCTACATTGTCGTTGCTGACTCAGGAAATAACCGCATTCAAATCTTCCATCCGGATGGAACGTTCCTTCGAGCTTTCGGATCTTGGGGCTCTGGAGACGGAGAGTTTAAAGGCTTAGAAGGCATTGCTGTTATGTCCGGTGGCAACATTATTGTATGCGATCGAGAAAATCACAGAGTGCAAGTTTTTTAAGGTAAAATATAAAAGCCTTGCAAAATGCTTATAATTTTAAAATATTCATTATGTGTAAATGCCACCATCTTTCGACGGCACGATATACAAGCACATTACGGATGATGTGATTTATTTTGATTATCTTAGGAAAAATCAGTTAAGTGGAAAGCGTCGATGCGTCAGTGATTTGCGAAAAAAAACCATTATCCATCTTTATGTATGATAGCTTTTTCAAAATGGTTTCATTTACATGGTTCTCTGAGCAGGTGGTTTTTTTTACAAAAGAAAGTGTAACAAACGAGCACACAGTCCAACTCATGGTAAGTGGATACTGTAGTCCATAGACATCTACATTTATCCTCGATAAATAATCAAAATACAGATTCGTAGTCACCCTTGAGAACTAAGATGGAATGCCTCGTTTCCAGTAAAAAGCGTTTCCGGTTCTTTACACTCATCAGACGTAACATAGCGGCACTAAGCCGCTATTTTTCTTAATGAATAATAATTAGTAAATAAAATCATTACCCATCTTCAGCTATGATAGTTTTAACAAAATGATTTCATTTACCTAAACGTTGGGATTTAAGTCAGCAAATTTATTTGTTACAAAATTTTACAAAACTAAATTTTCTTTTTACTAATTTGGCTTAGAATTTTTTAAGTAGCTCCTTAGATTAGATTAGACTTATTTTTTCCAGAAAATATTAGAACGACGACTGCCTGAAATATCACAAAAAGACATGTGTACTTAAATATTATAAGATATGATATTTCTACAGATTTTTTATATGCATAGATTTCTTTTCAATTTTATTTTAATATTTTTTATCGTCTGTAAACATTCTCAATAATTCACTTTTTTTTCAGATTAACGGAACTGCTTTAAGTAAACATAATACAGAGTATATTATGAATAAGAAGTCATTAGTTTTAAAATATGTTTCAATTTAAATCGCTATAATAATTAAAATAAATACTTGTTATCTTTATTTTTGAGACTGTATAAATTTTGTGCCCAAGGCTTTTTTTAGAATTTTATAAATCACCCGCGCCAAAATTACACGAATTTTTCAACTTTCTTTATTTATATTCAGTTTATATCAGATAAACAAGCTTATTCCTTTTTTAATTCCTTAAATATTATTATCTTTATATATTATATTTAAAATACTTTTGTGTGGTATTCTCTCAATAATTTTACAAACATGTCTTCATATTTATATATTTATTTACTATTTTTTCTAATAATATAATAATACATTAATTTGCTATTTATGTATTTACATTTTCCCCATCTTTCTATTTTAATTTATCCTTGATAGAAATGTGTATTGCTATTAAAAAAAATCTATTGCTTTATAATTTTATAAAATTACCTTTAAACTGCCTTTAATATTTTTGTATCTTTTAAATGCTCTTACTTGCACATTTGGAAGAATCGTTCACTAAAGTTTGAATTAATCGCTTTTAAAAACTCGTTAATATATTTATAATGTAGTATGAATTCTATATACTTAATTTAACAATAAACTTTTTATACAGGTTTGTACGGTTTTCAAGTTTAAATAAAATAATTCGTTATAAAAAAGTGTTTTATTCTTATCGCCAATTTAAATTTGTTGCAAAATCTTGGGGTTTTTTAAGGGAACACCAACTATATTTTTTGTTATCTTTGTCATTACATCTAGCACGTGAATCTCATCTTCAAATACTTACCTGACGTGTATGTCATGCACCCTGTTAAGTGAATCTCGAACTCGAGGTGCCACCATACACTCCTTAAAAGTAAAATACAACCACTTCTGATAGGGTTGTGAAATAATTAGTCCACAGTACTGCGGTATAAGAATAAATGATAATAAGAAAATAAAAGCATGAGCAGCGGCCATGAGCCGCAGTAGCTAAGGACTCCTATTAAATTTTACAATACGTGAGGAATCCGGTTATTTCGATACCTCCAGCACTAACAAAAATATTAATTGAAATTTTAAGGGTTTATTTATTACGAGTTTGACAGCGAAGAAAACACGATCGTAAAGATTGATAATGTATCCATATTACCAGTGTTAATGAATTTGCCAGTGAGAAGTTGTCGACATTGCGCTGACCAGCACATCTGCCTAAAAATTCTCAAGGCTTAGGTGGTAAGACTCCTTATTTACTTAGGAGTACATCTGGATAGATAGATATACCAACGTCTTACCTATTTCTGCTTTTCTCCCTCTAGTACTGCTTATATAATATTTAGTTGTGATCCCGTGTAAAGAGTATAGAGAGCCTACTTAACTACAGGCTGTAAAGGCATCTTAGTCTTCATGGGTGACAACGCACGTGTAGCCTTCTTTGTTAGAAGTATTGCAGATATTCATGGGCTGTGGTAGTCACTTACGCCGCCGACTCAATTTGGAGCATCGTAGTAGAATAATTGCTCCAAAAACCCCTTCTGAAAAAAAAAACGTCACCTGTACCCAGTGGTATGTAGTACGTGGGACACTCAATAAGTTTTGAGATATACAAAAGTATTCTAGATACTATTAATATTTATTTTACATCTTTTTAAAATAGTTTCCATCATGCTCTATACAAAGTTGCATTCGCCTAAACCAACTCTTAAAATACTTTTGCCAGTCTTGATGTGACAGGTCGGAAATCGCTTCTTCGTAGGCAGCCACGGCTTCTGCGGCGCTTGAAAAAAAACTTGCCTTTTATTTTTTCTTTGACCCTTGGGAACAAAAAGAAATCACAAGGAGCTAAGAAAGGGTTGTAGAGTGGGTGACTTAGACTTTCAACACCAGACTCCTCAATAAATGCTTTTGTTCTAAGGGAGGTATGTGAAGAGGCGTTATCGTGATGCAGCATGATTCCCAGAAGCCCAATCTTTGCTCTTCTCTCCCGCACAGCTTAAAAAGCTTTGGGTAATGCAACTGTATTAAATCATTCAGAGTTGACTGACCTAAAATTTTCCAGCATTGACGTCGACAAACGTCCGCTTCGCGAAAAAAAAAACTAGCCACTATTTTTTTTTTGCCGACGTTGCAAGGTCTTTGCAGTTTTGTCGGTAACTGTCCATCTGACTCATACCGATCATTGCCTTTTATTTTCTGGATCATATTGATAGATCCATGTCTCGTTACCGGTAACAATTTCTGAAATATGTCTAGATGCCCCATTTTAAAAACGTAGACGCATTTCATGGCACCTATCCACACGAGTATTTTTCACTTTCGGAGAGCAAACGAGGGATCTATCGAAAACAAAGCTTCCTCATTCCAAGATGTTGATGTAGGATGGTATGAATGCTCCTCGAACTAATGCCTTCAATCTTTTAGATGTCCGTATATGTGATTTGTGGGTCTTCTTGCACCAACAGTTTGCGGGGCCCCGGTTCTTTTGTCACATTTAGGGTTAATTTTATCCCTTTAGAATTCAGCAAACTACCTAAAGTTGCGCGTGATGGAGCTGAGTCCACTAATGCTGATTGTAACCGTTATACGAGGGTGACACTGAAAGTTCTTAGAAAATCAAAAACTGAACAAACTATTAGTTTTATTACATATTTTTAAAATAGTGTCCATTTACATTAATACATCGCTGAATCCGATGAAACCACTGAGAAAAGCACTTTGCCCACTAGTCTTCTTCGACGGCATTTTGAAACGCAGTCACTGCTTGCTCGGCGTCTATAAAACTTTAGCCTTGAAGTTTTCCTTCAATTTTCAGAAATAAATAAAAACCTCAATGTGCAAAGTCGAAGATATAGGGCGGGTGATCCAGTAATTCCACGTATGATGCGTCAAACAGTCGATTGTTTGCTTGGCGGTGTGTGACGAGGCGTTGTCGTGGCGAAGGAGGATCGAGAACGTTTTCCAAGACAATTGGCTAACAATTGTTAGTGTACTAATCTGCAGTAACTTTTTTTGGATCCTCTAAAACAATTGTTGCGTAATGACCTGGCCTTTCGAAGAACGAGGCCACCGCCTTTTTTCCTTTTGACCTCTTTTCACTTTAGTTGGCAACTCCTCGGAAGGAAACAAACAGATAGCAGACTGTCTTTTAGTTTCCGGATCATAATAATAAATCCAGCTTTCGTCACCCGTATGTTGAACACAGCATTTGAGTCACAATCAACAAGACGCAGTTTTTGGGCCTCTGTCATATTATGAGGGATCCACCGGTCACAAAGCTTCCTGACCTCTAAATGTTCATGGAGGATTTTATGCACTTTACTCATACCGATGCCTAAGCTTGTCCAAATCTGCTGATAATTCTCTTTTCAGTCTCTATCATACGCCACACAACATTGATGTTATCCTCAGTCGTCGCCGTAGAAGGCCGTCCCTCACGCGGATCATCGGTGAGATTAGTGCGACCACGTTTAAACTCATTAAACCGGTTATAAACACAAATAGGACACAATTTTGTTTATAACCGGTTTAATGAGGAATCGAGTTGGATGGCACAATAGGACTTCCTTGTGATAAAGGACAAAAAGTCGTAAAAAATCGTTGCTAGAAAACTTTCTCGCATTAAATTTACGGTGACGTGACACAATTTTCAATTTTTTTAAATTTCGAGCATCACATAACTTATTGAGTGACCTACGTATAAGTATATAGGGATTTATGGTACTAAGTATATAGGGAGTTAACATAACATACTTTACTTGTTATACCTTTCCAATTTTAAATTTAAATTATTACATAAAGCTTATGAAATAATTTAAATTTAGCCAAAAATTTTATCGTTCATTTAATTCGGAAACTGTTTTAAAATTTTACATTATGTTTCAAAAGCGAAAAAAAGTTTTCAGTATAATGCATGGAATTTGTAGCCATTTCTATTTTGCTTTAAACCGGTATTATCCGGTTTAAACTAGAATTTAAACTTAGGTGGAGCTGTCTGTAGGATTCAATTCCAGGGCCATTTTCAGACGGATTACATGCTCAGTTCACAGAGGTAGATATAATATACCTTCTATATTAGAAAGTTCTTGTATAATTTTCTTTCGTTTTAGATACGCTTTCAATAGCTTTAAATTTGATAATATTTCTGTAACTAGTTTACGATATAATTTTCTATTGCAATTTATTTTATATATAAAATAATCAGCCGTTTGTCAGTATATCAAATGGCGCATAATAACGAATAAAACACGCATTTATGTGTAAGCTTTTTGTAAGCATGTTACGAATTATGTTTGTTAATTGTGACACTTTCTTAATTATCCTTTTTTGGTTATTATTATTCTTCAATGAGTCTCATAATTTTTTAAGGAAAAATTCTACCCTTATGAGTGGAAATGAATGGGTGAAGAGTTTAAAGTAACTCTTTAGACGAAGTTCTATTTGTTACATTGAGCTTGTATTCCTTAGTTAGTAGTAGTTGACTGCCTCGTTAGTCTAGTGATTACGAAGGCCCAGGCTGGGCCCAAGAAATCATTTATTGAGTTTTTCCTTCAATAAATTTTCATTAGCTGCCCGGAAGTTGGCGGTGTCTCAACCCCGGGCCTCGGAAAGCACGTAAAGTCGTCGATCCTGCTGATCTGACCTCTCTTTCCGGTCGTGTCGGTTTACTATCCCATCGGACTATGAGTTTGAGGGAATAGAGAGTGCACCGGCACTTGCGCACATACTTGACTTTGTAATAATTCTGACCAGCGCCAATGGCAAGTCTCCGTTGAGACCAAACCGTGACCGAAATTCGATCTGGAGGACATTATTATTCCTTAGTTCACTAAAAACGATCAAAAAATTTAACTTTATATAAAAATTAAAAGCCAACTTTAAAGACAAAAAAGAAAAAATATGTATCTACATAATAGCTTCCGAAGTCCTAAAGAAAAATTAATGCTCTGACATCAGAAGCTTTTTGTTATAAGTTTAGTTT